GAGTAATGGAGAGAAAGAGGGAGGGAAGAAAAAAGGAGGGAGGGAAGGTGAGTAAGCCAGTTAAAAGCTTTTAAGACAAATGAGGAACCAGGACAAATAAATCAGACATAACTAGTAGGTTAAAGTTTAAATATGTGGAGAAGATCGTCCCTTGTGATTTATTAATAACTTTTCTTTTCTCTTGCATTTCTTAGGTTCATTTTTTTGCAGATCCAATTGTTTCAGACAGAGATTAAGGTTTGACCAGGCAATTAAGCCTGTGGTTTACGCTACACTATAAATTACATGAGCTAAACACTGCTCTGCTATGGGGATACCTAAGCACTTCATAAATGTTTTTATTTCAATTATCACCACAGCCAGATGGTTCAATAATGCAGTTTTTGAAATCCTGTTCACAATTTATGAACTTGTAGAATTGTAGAATTACTGAATCCATTCCTTGTGCCACACCATTGCCAAAGTACAAGTGAAATACAAAATAAATACAAAACAATGATAGTTATGATAATGATTAAATCACATGAAAAATAAGATTATAGCTATTTTACTTGAAACTTTGAGAAACTTATGTTGTTATAAAGGCAGCAAAATGTGTGATTTTTGAGTGTAAGTTATGTTCTAGTTAAAATATGGAAACAGTTGTAATATCTATTTCTCTCATATTAATGTGCTAGGGCAATTGAAAATTATAGGGTTGGCTGGAGCCGCGGTCGCTGCGTCCAGATTCCATTGCTGCGCACCCCTGACGCATGCTCGATGTGCACTCCCGCTTCCTATTGGTTCCAAGTCTGACATGACATCTCTCAAGGATCAGATGATTGTGAATCTTCTTAAGGAAGACCAGGTTCCCCAAAATAAGAGTACAGTTGTTGGGTTTGGTGCTGTTGGCATGGCCTGTGACATCAGCATCTTAATGAAGGACTTGGCAGATGAACTTGCTCTTGTTGATGTCATGGAAGACAAATTGAAGGGAGAGATGATGGATCTCCAACACGGCAGCCTTTTCCGCAGGACACCAAAAATCGTCTCTGGCAAAGACTATAATGTAACCATGAACTCTAAGCTGGTCATTATCACAGCTGGAGCTCGTCAGCAAGAGGGAGAAAGCTGTCTTAACCTGGTCCAGTACAATGTCAATATATTCAAATTCATCATTCCTAATGTTGTAAAATACAGCCCAAACTGCAAGTTGCTTATTGTTTCCAATCCAGTGGATATCTTGACCTATGTGGCTTGGAAGATAAGTGGCTTTCCCAAAAACCATGTTATTGAAAGTGTTTGTAATCTGGATTCAGCCCGGTTCCATTACCTGATGGGGGAAAGGCTGAGAGTTCACCCATTAAGTTGTCATGGGTGGGTCCTGGGGGAGCATGGAGACTCCAGTGTGCCTGTGTGGAGTGGCGTGAATGTTGCTGGGGTCTCCCTGAAGAATCTGCACCCGAATCTTGGTACTGATGCATACAAGGAGCAGTGGAAGCAGGTTCATAAACAGGTGGTGGACAGTGCTTACAAAGTGATCAAGCTGAAAGGCTACACATCCTGGGCCATTGGCCTATCTGTAGCAGACTTGGCAAAGAGTATAATGAAGAATCTTCGGCAGTTACATCCAGTTTCTACCATGATTAAGGGTGTTTATGGAATAAAGGACGATGTCTTCCTTAGTGTTCCTTGCATCTTGGGACAGAATGGAACTTCAGATGTGGTGAAGGTGACTCTGACACCTGACGAAGTGGCCCGTTTGAAGAAGAGTGCAGACACACTTTGGGGGATCCAGAAGGAGCTGCAGTTCTAAACTCTTGTGATGTACCACTTCACTGTCTAGACTACATGAGAATTTTAGTTGTGCACATTGTCTTTTTTATCTGATCTGTGATTAAAGTGGTATTATCAAGATGGCCTGGGAAAACATCAATTCCCTTTAGTTAGAGACGGGTGGTAAAAACCTACACACCTGTGTCTTGGTGCTGGCTGGTACTAAGCATGTGGTCCTAAGCTGGGTAGTTCCTCCACCTGTGAGACACCACTGCCAGTGTTGTACATGCTGCATTTGCCTTCAAACCAGATGTGTTTACTCTGTGCTGTATAACTCTGGTTCCTTCACTCAACATGCCTAGTCCAACTTTTCTGCCCCGCCCTGGGATCCAATGTGTAAATCCAATTCTGCATGCCATGTACATAACTATTCTAAAGGACCTTAGTTTGTATAATACATGTATCAGTAGTGTAAAAAAAAAAAAGCACTACATAGAAACAAGCAACTATCCAAATGTCATACTAAAACACCAAATAAACCGTATAGTGTTGAAGTAGAAAGTGATTAGAAAAGGTAAGGTTTAAAGAGGAGGCTGACTGGGTGGTACCAGGACAAGCTATATAATGCTCAGGGTCTAGTGCAGAATGGAAATATAGGGACCCTTGTTTGACAACTGAAAATCTCAAGATTATGATGACGGAGCAGTAAACCAAGTGCAGAGTCCATCTGAACACAAGGTTCTATGTGGCTACTCACGTTGCACAGACGTGAAACCTTCCTGTGTGGGGACACATAGTGCTTGTCCTGCTCTGTCATCAACCATGAGGCAAAAACAGTTAAGCATTCCCCTCTAAAACTGATGCTCCTCATCCATAAAGTCAAAGACGTTTTTTAGAAGATGTTTTCTTGTAAGTAACAGAGATCCATCTTCCACTAGTGTTAAGCAATGGGCTCATCCAACAGTTCAAAGCTGGTATTGGCTTTGCTGTAGAGCACACATCAATAAACTTATTATTATTTTTTAATTTATTATAAAGCATGTGTGCTCACAAGAGAGAGACAGAGATAAATAGTGAGAGGGAAAGTAAGAAAGGAACGCTCCCACTCCCTAAGAGGAATGGCTATGTTGTAATCCCTTCTCATTCATTCTCCTCTGTGGATTTTGGGCAAGCATGCATACATGCCTGGTGTGATTTTCAAGCCACTGGGTCCAGGACTCGAAAAGTGCTGTTGGCCATGTGGGAACCAGCCATCTAACCTCCATGCTGGCCTGAGCAGTGATTTTTTTTCTGTAAATAGCCAAGTAACAAACATTGTCAGCTTTGTGGGCCACAATGTCTCATACAATTACTCATTCCTGC